ACGTATTGATCTGATGTTTTGTTGTGATTTTAAAAATATTATGCCAAATCAATCTATTTATTCTGTTTTCAGTTAAAAGACTAGAAAAAATGCATAAATTACTAATATGCAAGGCTTCCACCCTGAGTCCAAATTTTGCTCTGGTAGTTCTGAAATTATGCTGAATCAATTTTGCCAATGAATCAGACAACCCTTTCCTTTGTAGGTTGTCTATTCCCAAACCATCCGCAAACTATTGATACTGTAGGTGTGCCAGTACAGCATAATGTTCTCCCTATGCTACCAAGTAGATCTTAGAATAATTCAAATACAGCTGCCAAACTCACACAGAACTATACCTCTGCTAAACTGTCCCTTCCCCCTGCTCTTAGCCGTAATAAATTTACTTTATGAATAAGATTGATTCCTTTAAAGATAAGATAAATGACACCCTTCTTAATATGATTTCTTCATCTCTGGAAGGCAGCATCTGAGGTAACTATAGAACCCGAACTGTGCTTGGACTGGTTTCATCCAGTTGAGCTTTCAGAGTTAATTATTGTCGTCATCTACGGTAGGCTTCAACTTGTATGTTAGATCCAATTACAACCAAGTTATTTAAAGAGGTATTCCCTCTGATTTCCACCTCCATTTTAAATATGATTAATCTATCCCCGTTACAGGGATGCGTACCTCAAGCTTTTAAGGTAGCTGTATTTAATCCTTTACTTAAAAAACTTTATTTGATCTTAAGGAATTTAAAGACCTACAGTATTTCAATCTGAAAAACTCACAGAGAGAGAAAGATGCAATTAGAAGAGTTTTATTGATACAATAGTTTGAACTTTGGCGCTCAGGCCTCGGCAGGGAACATAAACGCTGATTTATACTTTAATGCAGATAAACTGATGTATGAGAATAAGGATATTTCCCCCCGGGCCTGAAACTGGTGGTGGAGTTTAGATAGATGAAGTTTGGTTAATCCATAGAGGCTGGTATGCAAGGTGATGCTTGAGTTAGATGTCACTGAATGAACAAAGTTTGAATAAACTGTCCATGAACTGTCCATGAAGAGCAAGCATGAAGCGACTGTGGAGAGAAAAAACTCCCCTTTGGGAAGAAACCTCTGGCAGAACCAGGCTCAACATGGCGGTCTTCTGCCAGACCGTTTTAAAGTGGCAGGGAACTCCATGAAAGTCTGGAGGGACTACACACTGGAGGTGAGGTTGAAGGAGCATCGAGGAGAAGTCGGATGAGCTTACTACAATGGTGGAGAAGGGGATGGAGGTGGGTTGTCTGAATCAAAGTCCGACATAGGAGCGACGGTTCTTGCTTTTAAGGTGAGTGCTGGATGATGATTGGGCATTGAGGAGATGTAGCTTGAAGTGGATTGGCTGCATCAGAGGCGGATCAGCCTCAGATTGAATGGAAGTAATCAGAGTTTCTTCAGTTGAATTTCCGCCTTAGCCTCATATATAAACCTATACATAATTATAGACCTACCATCTCTCTTGTATTATCTCTGTTATCAAATCAGCTAAATAATGAGTTCTCCTCCACCCTCAAAAGGTCAAAATTCCCAATTGAGAAGCGCGGAGTCTGAATTGGAGGAGTTGATCTTAATTCCTTTGCATTTGGCTGTGAACTGCCACAGTGATTGCTATAGCTCTTGGCTGGAAGGAGCCAGCAGATTGAAGAATTTTGTTTCATTTTCTTTTACTTTTTCCACACCCTGAATGTCATGGTATTGGCATGATGCTTGGCAGTTTCCTATACCCCTGTTCACCTGTCTGATTGGCCCGGTGACTCATCAACGCTTATCGTTTCCACCTGGTTCCTGGTGCTATTGATGCTGTTTGGCTGCCTACCATTGGTGCCAGATTATTCAAGCTGTTTTGTGAGAGTAACTCTAGCATTCAAGTAAGTGTTCTGTGATTCTGATCCTGTACTGTTTTCTGTCTTTGGATATTAGAGTTTTTGCCTTGCACTTGTCTGCTTTGTCAGTTATGTATTTGGACTGATTTCCTGGATTCTGCTTGTCTGCTGATCGAACTTGGACTGTGTTACTGACCTCAGCTTGGATTCTCTTTTGGTACCTCTTCGGCTCTCTGATCTTCTGGTCTGGTCTGGTTCAGATTAGACTTCGGCTCTGGAAATTCCCTCACGTACAAAGTCGGCCGGCAACAGCTCGTCATCACCCTGAGCTCTGGAAGCGGCTACAAACACAAGCTGTGGACAATCTCGCTACCGGATTCTTCTCCTTCCTCTGCGATCCTTTTTGTTCCTTGTCGTGTTTAGCCTGACATTCTAGTCACTCACCTAAGTTTTTTTATTTCTGCAGAGAATCCGGTTATCTCCCATTCTGAAGACCAGCCGCTGGCTGTATTGTTGTTAATAAAGCAAGTTGGGAAATTGTCCTGATGAGGTCCTCACACTGAATTGTTTTAAAAATGCATTGAACTATACATATTGGGGGCATATTAATGTCATAATAATGATTTGTTATACAGTGATCAACAATGAGCTACAATTGAGCTCAGTGCACTATATAGATAGCACTACTTGAGATGTTGTCGAACAAAACAGCTACAAGCTGACAGACGTTTTATTTTCAGCCAGTTTCTTTGTTGAGTTGTTTTAGCTGTAAAAAAATATCCCCCAGTTTTGTTGATAACCTCTCTATATAGTGGCCTTACAGCACTTTTGCTATGGTTATTTGGAGATGCAGTCGGTTTATTCTGGGTTTTATACTGATTTTCAGATGTATTAAGGAGCAGGCAAAGGATAGCAAAAAATTGCAGATGAGGGTGTGGTCAGTTCCTCTCAAATTGGCATGTATGTAAAGTATTTCTTTAAAGTTTTGTACATCTGAATTGTTTCGTATGTCCAACATTTAGAAAATGTAAACTACAACAAACTTGAAAGCTCTGTCCTCTTTTATGCATAAAGTCTTCTTTTCAAAAATGTTTTGAATGATTTTCTTGGGACAGCATTGTTAAATTTGAACCATTAGGTTTGCAGAACCTAGGAATATTTGACGTTAAGAAAATACGACATTTCTGGAAAAGACCCACATAACAACTGGAAAGTATTAGGTGGAGGTGTCATGAGGGAACTGGCCAGCTCACTGTACCACCAAAGAATCCATCATGAAATCTAGAGTATCAGAGTGTTTTAGAGAAAAATTGGTGTTTTGTTTAATGGGAAAAAAGTGCTAAACTGTAAATAAATAACTTATGAAAGATAAAACACTGATACTAGCACATTCTATTTTAAAAGAACTAAATAATCAGTGGAGTTCATGATTTTGTTTATTGAGAGCTACAGTATGCTGTGTTTTATGACTTATGATAAAACATTTTTAAATTATTTCTGGGACATTGATGTCCTAAAGCACTGCACTGCATCTAAAGCCAACACATTTGTAGTGAAAATTACTCCATTTAGGCAGTACCAAAATCAGGAATCTGCAATTTACAATTGAGTGGATCGTTATCTCCACCTGGTCTTTAATCATTTTAAACCATTTTTCTACACTGTAGTTTTTTATTAGGTAAAGCACTATAAGCTTCAGGGATAAATATACCAGATAGTTCGATATTGTAGAAGAAGCTGCATTACAGACTGTGGAGCAGGAAGCCAACTGATCGAGTTAGGACACAGCAACATTTCTTCACTTTCCTTCATGGGTCATTGGCTGGTCCCCTATAATTCCCTTTTTAAACATCAATCTTTTTACTAAAATATTCTCTCTGTCATGATTTGTGGACATTAAGATCCAAAGAGAAGCGCCTTGTTGTGGTCAGACCCTGTAATTCAGTGAAAGGTTGGAGTCAGAGTAAAAAAAATATGCACGTCAAGGAAAACGAGAGGGTCACTCCGGTGGCTGGAAGTTGGATGGGATTTTGCCAGGAGTTGCAGGAAAGTAGGCTGCCATTCAACTGGCGTTTGACTGGAAAGGGCTATTTTGAATTGCTGCTACTGCAGTAAATAGAAAACAGAAGTTGGACAGCAGAACTGCAACGTGAGAAAAGCTAGCGGAACCAAAACAACTTCACCATTAATTTGCCTTTTCTTACAGGATGCTATCCATTAACATAATGGATTATGGGCAACAATAGAATGAAACATCTGAAGAGGTCCAAATGAGAAGGTGAAGGGTCTCACGTCAAACCTCTATCCTAATGTTGTGGTAAAAGTCTGACTTGAAGTTGCTTTCATGGTGATAGGGGTTTGTCAGCCCGGTCTGTAGCAACCTATCTGTAAAGCTTGGGCATTTATCTCATTACCCGCTCTTACAAACTGAGTGGTTGTTGGTTGCAGGTTGTGGGGTCTCAGCCTTCAGGAGGATGGGTGCGTGCAGAGGCAAAAGAACTCATCCCGAAGGTCTGGATGAGATGATTTTTGCCTTATCTGAGAAGAATTTTCCTTTACATACACCTAACATATTCTCTGGGGGCCTCATTTGTAAAATTTTTCATTTTAAAATGTAGCACAATATTGGACTCAAATGACTTGGTAAAGCAAGTTAAATAAATAACAATCAGCTTCTTATGGATGGTCAAGATTAACTCTGGTAAGGCTATCAATAGACATAAAAAAAAGAAATGTTTCAATAACAAATGATGAAGCTGTCATGCCTGGAGTATAAACCGGCCTCATAATCAACTTAGAAGTTAAGTGTTAAGCATCAAATCATTCCTCACCAATATTAAAGATGATGAAAACAACCAGATGGGATATTTCCCCTCAGCAATACCAGCCCATGTGCAGCTTGTCAAAAGCCTTGACTTAAATCCTGATGATATTTGACAATGACATCTCAAATGCTGCAATTCACTTTGAGAACCTCACATAGAAAATGTGAGTCAAGCTTCCATCCATCCAATCAATTATTTACCTGTTATGAAAAGCTTTATAAAGCCAAAAAGTATCTCTTAAACTGCACAATGACTAAAATCAGCAATTATTTAACATCTATTTGCCAACAACAAATCTCTCTATCATATTACTGTGATTACCTTAAGGTGTAGAGTATTTTCCCATCGTTCCATATCCTGAGCAGCTGGTTAGGCATAGTAATCCAATGAGAATCTGCAGTCTTGGAATTTCTAAAGATGGTGTCCGGCAGCCAGATAAGTCCAACCATGTTGCTGTTTAAGGTCAGTATTTTCATTGTGCTGTTATATCTGAGGCGGCTGTCTGTCCATGTCTGGGCGAAAATGATGTCAATTTGGTACTCCTGAAAAAAGAATAGGGAGAAGGTTATTTGAAAAATTCAGAAAATACATTTTGTTGTAGAAATAAAGAATGCAAGCCAGCATTTCAGCTGAAATCATACATCTTTGAGAAATGTATTCAATCTGTCATCCATTGCTAGAATTATTTATCATTTTCCTTATTAGATGTTCTTTCTGTCATGCACATCATTCAGTTCATTGTATGCCAACTGCAGTATATTTAGGACTGAGGCTTTTTTACCCTTTTTTACCCCCTCATGATGAAAGCTAAATGTGAAAAAACATGTCACAATGAGTCATTTGTGCAGATTTGCCTCTTAGCCTAGAAGACTGTAAAACCCCCAAGATAATTACATCAGTTGATTGATGATTGACACTACCCAATGCCTTGCACGGGTATTCATGACTGTTGAAGTTTTCAAAGTTCTTATAACAAACTCTTGAAGTATTTAATAAATTGTTATGATTAAGCAACACAGAAAATGACTAAGAAAATGCTTTCAAGGTATGAACTTAGGAGGGAAGAAAAGTAGTTACTCTGTTAATTTCACCTGAGTAATTTGATAATATTATGAAATTTTGCGACAGTTTATGTTTGGTTGAGATTCCCATTTTGTTATCAAGCTTTATTGATTTAAAGTTAATTTATGTCTGCTGATTATTCCTCTGGACTCAATACTTTCTTGAACCACATTTGATAACATGGGTTTATGGTAAAATGTTCATTCCCCTGCTCTATTTTCATAAATATGTATGTATTAGAGTTTAAATCTGTGTGAGTAATAATTTACTTATGGGACTTAATAGGGAAATAATTGACAATGGCAGAAAAAGCCTAACATACTGTAGCCTTAGCAACAGTTATGCTCTTTGGGTTGTTTTTGCCAGCCTGTCACAGGAGGATGTACAGTTTAATAAAAATTATAATTTCTGCCACTGCCTGAAATGTTTTGACCTTATGCTCAATCTGCACAATCATTTAAATGCCTCACCACTCACAATAAAGTCTATTTTCACAGAGCCAAGTGTGCAGGTTATGACCTTTAATTGTTTTGAGTTAAGGGGAAAAAATATCCAGAACCCTATGACCAGTAAAAACAGTAATGTTAGGTTTTTCTTTTGTGCATTAGGTCTGACAGGTCTTACATAAGACCTCAATTTTGCATTTATCAGTCCCATTTTATACCAAGGTTTTTTTTAATAAAAAATGCTGGCATACACAGAGTATATAACGCCGTATTTGTTAATAAAGGTTGATGAATGTGTTTTTGTGTTACTGATGAGAATTTTGGGAAAATGTGCCCTACATTGGGTGTGCCTGTGTAAAAAAGGCAGCGGCTGAAAATGGGTCGAGGAACCCTCACCAGAACTAGTAAGGGGATTCGTTCAGGAAGCAAATCAGTTATGTCTTCGGGTGTCAATGGTAGCGTAATTTTCTTTTTGAAGCAAGTCTTGAAACAGTGGTTCTGTGCTACAGGTTTGACGCATGTATGGAGTCTGCCTCTCCGTACATAGGTCCATCTAGGCTCAACCCTTCCTGCAGTTATATCTCAAAACATTATCTAAACCTTTAATTTTAAGGTCCTATGACATGCTTTTTTAAGCCTTCAAACTAAATGCATATTTATTGAAATTTTTCCATTAGCATTACAGAGTATTAATTTAGCATGAAAAATTGATAGTTTTCTTCCAACCAGGAGTGTGATTGGAGACCATTTAAGATAGAATACCATACCATAACAGCTTTATTTATGAAGCACTTTATGCACCGGACAGGACCACAGTGCTGTACACAATCATAAAATACAATAAAATTATAAAATAGAAAAAAAAAACGAGTGTAAAAATAAAAATTTGTATACAAAGAGAATAAAACAAAGTAAAACCTCTCAAATTGTGCCAAAAGCCAAGGAAAAAAGATGAGTCTTAAGAAGGGACTTAAAAACAGCAAGAGAAGAGGCCTGTCAAAGATGAACTCTGGATGCTGATTGGGCTTTCATGGAGGTGTGGTTCAAAGCTGATTAGCTGGTGTCGGAGGCAGATGAAGGCGAGTAATCAGTTTATTCAGTTGAACTTCCGCTTAGGCTCCAATGGCGTTTAGGCAACTCATTAACAGGCGCTTAATCTAGTGTGTGTCTTTCAAAATTGGAGTATTTGGGGAAGGTATAACCCTTTAGGAACTAGTTTTTAGTGTAAGTGTGAGGTTTATTTTTGTTGTTCTCATCACTCTCTCGTTTTCTTCAAGGTCACCTGGTCAAGGTTTGTCATGGAGGTGCGCCCATGAGCAGCGCTGATAAGGAGCTGGTGTGTTTAATCAGCCTCATGAGGAAAGTTTTGAGTTTTGATTGGATTTAGATTATTGTTGAGCTTTATTTTGTTAGAGTTTAATGTTTTGGGTTTTGTTTTATTTCCTTGTGTCATGGTTTTGGTTCTGTTTAAGTTTTCATCGGTTTCATTCCCATTTTGCTTTATTCTAGTTGTTTTTGGTTGTATTTGAGTTCTTATGTTTTTCTTGTTTACCCTCTGTTGCCCGCTTTTGTCAGTTTCCTTCCTGTAACTCCCTTCTAGATGCTTTCATCCACAGCTGTTCCTTGTCAGCTTATTGGCCCAGTCTTTGTCCAGTCTCCCATATGGCGGTAATGCACTCCCAAATTGTTTTCCAACTGCCATTAAACTTCACAAGAAGAAGTCTCCCATATATACTCTTCTAGTACAGTTTCTCATTGCTGGTTACTAGTAATTTCTTTAGTCCTCATGTGTGTTTTCCCTGATGTCTCTTGGATTTTGGGTTTCTGTATTTTGTTTGTAGACTTTTGCTTCTGTTGCCCTTTTGACATACATTAAATCTACAAGAAACCGACTCAGCTTCCATCTCTGCATTTGGATCCTCTACCCCCTCATAACCTGACACCTTGAGGTTTCTCTTTGTTAACAGCTTCTCAAGTACAAAATATGAATTTTGTCTCCACCCTTTAATTAGAAATGATTTAGCCCACAGCTTAAAAAGCTGGGTTGTTCAAACAGTGCTTTCTGTTGTCTGTTTTCTGTGATTGAAGGAAGTGTAATCAATACCTTTTGCTACAAAATGTTCGAACAGTTTTTTTCCTGACAAAAGGTGTGTATTTTTTGAGGCTTTGGATATTTATTTATTTTTTTAGTCTGAAAGGTCTTTGTTTCTGATCTCAAACCACTTTTTTTTGCTTTACTTTTTTTTAACCTGGGTTTGTGTTGAGACTATTTCTTAAGATTTCACCGATGGAAAACTGAAGTCAAATGCATTGTACATACCAAATTGACAAAAAAAGTTCATTCTAATTTTGAAAAAAAACCTCAATGATCTGCTTAAGAAAAAGACCACCTGTGTCTGCTTTGCTATTTCAGGACCTGGGAAATTCAGAACCAGTTATTTTGGTTGCTCTATTACTGAACGAGATTGTTCATTAGGTGCTGTGGATTTCAAGGCAATACATGATCTAAACACAGCACCACGTCCCCTTCTGATGGATAACTAAATAAAGGCTTATTAAAGTAAAAACTTGACTGAAAGATTCTGGACTGACATGCTTTAAAATTCTAATATGGTTAAAATAATCAATTCTTCAATTATGTGGGCCAAAGCTCCACTGCAATAAAGTACAAAAACAAAAGACCTCATTGTCAGTTACTGCAAATGCTTAATGGCAGTTGTTATCAAGGGTTATTAGGTTTTGAGGGCAGTTACATTTTCACACAGGGCCAAACTGTTTTGGATAGCAATTTTCTTCAATTAAATGAAATCATCACTTAAAAACGACTTTTTGTATTTATTCAGCTTCTATATGACAATAAAATGTTCAATGATCTGAGACACTGTAGCTAGACAGAAAAGCATAAACAAACAAAAATATTTTATGGAAAACAAATGTGGTAATGGCACAGTAGATAATTTAAAACCTTTCCAAATGTTTATCACATTGACGACACATTTTCAATCGATTTTTGTAGGCCATTGTTGTAAATTTAATGTAGCTTTATATATTCTGTAAAGAGAGGAGACAACAAATCAAATGCCAAAAGGCTTTTAAAGGTCAGTTTGCTTTTCTTAAGCCTTTCAAACTCAAGTATAGTGATTAATATAATTGAAATAATGCATCTGCAGATTATAATTAGTAAACATTGGTTATTTTCTTCCAACATAGAAAAAAAGGCACTTGCTCTCAAAGGAAAGTTGCATTTTACCATCTGAGTATCATAATTTTCAAAAAGGCTCCATATAACACAGAAAGCTGAACAAAGTCCAAGACCTCTTGAAGCCAAATGAATAAAAATAGGTTTTTATCAGTAAAGGCTGTGTTATACTGCTTGAGTTTCGACTCAAGCATCAATGAAATAATTTATTTTTTCCATTTCCACCTGTTACTAAAGAGGGTTTCCACTGAGTATAGGGGCACCAGATTTTCCCATTTGTGAGGGACTGCGCCACATTTTTCACTGCTGTCCCAGTGTTCTTGAACTAAAACAATGTCCCTGACTTTTCTCGGTCAGATTATGAACATTTAAAAAAAATATTCAACTGGAGCCATTCTTTAATATATGGGAAGAGGAGCCTCAGTCATTATCAAATAGCGTCAGCTGTCAGTCAAGCTACAAATGCTGCGCCCCACTTCCTGACCAACCTGCACACCGTGCCCTGAAAATACAATAATACATATAAATTATATTACTTTTTTTTTTTTATTAAAACCTTGATGTAAACTGTCATGGTTCTCCCCTTTGGGGACTCTGAGTTTTTACTTTTCAGTTATCAGTTGTTCTGTTTTGTTGATCTTTGGTTTATTTTTCATTATATTTAACCAGAGTTTAGTTACTCTCTGTTGCCTCCTTATGCTCGTTTCCTTTCCCCTTGGCTTCCTTCTAGTTAGTTCCAATCACACCTGCTCCATATTCAGATCAGTAGTTTATCCTTTGTTTCGTTTCCCTTATATGCTCCACCTCTGCAGTCACTCAGTGCTGATTCCTTGTT